GGCTCTAATAGACCGTAAACAATCGTTTACAATTGGTTTAAACGACCACCGTAAACAATTGTCATTTTTCGTCGTAATTGATTGGTGTACGGCTGTGTACAACTGAGCAATATTTGACTTGGGAGCTATGGAGTCGTTCATGATGTAAAAAAGTTCACAACAATCGACGGAACTTGCGGAAGGTTTTGCACAAAATTAATGAAACCCTATAAAATCTACCGGACTTTAAAAGTTCTGGACGGAAACTACGGAGCGATTTTCATCTCACTGAATCTGAAATTGTTGGATGGAAAAACAAGAAACTTGTTAAGTTCGGTAATAAACCGACTTTATTTACAGAGTGCACGCAATTCTAGTTATCATCTTTGGTAGATCTGTGAGTCACCGGTAATAAATCCAGTTCAACTGCTTTTCTTCTGTAGCTCTTATCTATGATGTGTACTGTTTTGATGACAATTAGGAATTAAAATGAACCGAAACAGTGTAAAAGTGCTTTCCATATTCTTTTTAATATACTAAACACTCGTATGATCATTAGAGACAAAGAACAGTTTAGTTCGACATAGTCTAAATTACATTCAATCAAACCCAAAGACCATCAAAAGTAACGATGTCAACAGTTATTGCCGCAGATGTAAAGATGGCATTTTCAGACGATGCTGTCATTGCCGGTTTATTTGCCAATGTTTCAGTTTTGGACAACATTTCGTACGTGTATTCCAGAGGATGTTCAGGTTGATATAATTTCTTGACAAAATCAAATAAATAGTTCATCATGAAATATGTGTTGATATACGAATAAATGTCGAAGAGAATGCGCAAGGCAAAACTTTGGTCATTCAAAAGATATTCCTTAGCGGTAAAAACGGTGAGGAAATTATACATACATACTAAGACCATTTGAAGCAAAGCAATTCGAATGTAAAGACGTGTTTGCTTATTTTCATTCAAAGCAACGGCCCAGATCAGTAAACGATGTCGAATAAAGACCATTTGAATAGTAAAAATATTGTCCCATATAAGTGCTGTAATAAGATCCAAAGTAGGGGTAGAGCTATCCTTAATGTCTTGACGAACCCAAACGACATAAACGAAATTGTAGATAAGAAGAAAGAGGAGTATGCGAAGACGAAGAAATGTTTTCCAAACACAGGTGATAATAGCAGGAGTAGTATGGCAAGAGCAAGCATGTCGATAATTGTAGTTTTGATAGAGAAGAAATAATAGATACATATTATGACTGAGAATTAACAACTTATAGCTATTATTGCAATAGAAAAATATCGTTGCATCTTGAAAGACTATTCTCTGTGAAAAGAATTTGTACCAAAGCTTATTGACCATTACGAGAGCCCCCACACCAATAGATGGAAAAAGCAGAACATAAAAAATGATCAAAATCCACTGACGAAGAGAACATAAGTTTAATACATTCATTTGTTTCTGAATTCAATAAACGACGAGAATGTGCAAGTTGATCGAGTAAGTTGCTTGATTTATGAGCGACATGGATTCAACACAGATGATATTTGCACACATGCTCATTTTATGTGTTGACGATTGTACTATGCATGATTTATGTCCGTTGGTAAATGCGTCAGCAATACGTGGAATAATTCCAACTAATAATTGATTTTATTATCGATCATCAAAAAAACAAAATTGTTACTGTATATCCAATGAGTAAAACAGAGTATCATTAACATATGAAAGACGGCAAACAATTGGTATTGGAGGGTATGAGTTTGATTTTAAATGAAAAAGCGAACTAACAATATGGTCGAGCAAAAAAGAAGACCAAAGAAAAATTATAAATAAATAAATAAATAAATAAACGAATAACTTTATTAAATAATTGAGAAATAAATGAACAATTTTTTTTTAGGAATATGAATAAGCAAATAAATTCTGTTTTTGTTTTTGTTTTAAATTTCATTTTAGTTTTTTTGTTTTAGATTTTTATTAAATTTTAAATGTTTTTTGGTTATTTTAATGTTTTTTAGATTTGAACAAAAATGAGCTAATTTTTTAAGTAAATTTAAGAAAAATTGGAAAATTTAAAGTAAATTTGAGAGAACCGAGAAAATTTAGATGAATTTAAGAAAAAAGGAATAAATTTTTGATACGTTTTTTGAAAAAACAATAATTTTTGTGAATAAATTTATGAAAAATGCACTAACTTTCAATATGTTTGAGAACAATAAGTAAGAACTGTTGTTTTGTTGAATTGAATAAGAAGAAATCAATGAAATGAAATGATTTTGAGTATTTTAAGAGGAAATAATGAATTATGGGTGTGAGTATGGGTGTGGGGTGTAGTTCTTCTGTAACTCACTCACATCCGATACCCACACCTACACATGAAGTGTGACGTTATCTACACCCATCTCTGGTGATGAAAGAGCATTATCAGCAACTAGTCAACAACCGAACACTGAAGTGGTTTTCAGAGAAGCAACAGCTACTTGTTTTCGTAGACAGTCATAGGACTCATATCAGTTATTCCAGTTACCGTTCTGTCTTGGGCTTTTTTTGTTATTTTCTTGATTCAAATATCAAAAACAGACGCTTTCCTTGGAATATTCCATTATCATGTCTGTGTCATGAAACGAATTACAAAAGTGTCTTTTTCAGTAAATAATTACTTAGAACTGACTGTGCGATCATGCCATTTTGGACTCCTATGAAACAGCACTGGAACGGATGTCGATGTATATCCTTCTTCTTGATGATTTTCTTCTATATCTCTGAGTATGTCACACAAATCATCTGTTGACACAATTGAGACAACACATTTACCAAGAGCTATAATGAAGGTCCAGCTTTTCGTAACGCTGTTTTCCCACAAATGCCCATCAATATAGCGTGTATTCTTTTTTACTTCATCTGGCAAGCTATAAGAAATGTTCGTCTAGACTGGTTTCACGTTACCCCGGTGATGTGTTGTGTCCTGCTCATGTTGTTATTCATCTGTCAATTCTTTGCTGCCTGGATCCTCAGCCAGAGGAGAATTCAAAAGATAATATCATCTATTTGACTCAAACTGTTCTAGACCTCTGTGTCAGTAGTTTTTCCATTCTATATTTTATATTCCATCGAGGTGATCCACATAACAGAGAGAACAAAATAAAGTACGCAAATCCTGGCTGCATCATTGTTGCCTGCATCTTTCAAGTCTCTCTAATAATTATCAATTTTGCCATTAATGTTATGCACGAAACAAACATGAAAAAAATTCCATCTTTTATTTAGTTTCCATCATATAGAATATTCTTCTCTTTGAAGTTTTCCACCTGGCTGTCGACCTCATTGTCAAAATTGAAGCAATGGGTACGATCTTGTCTAGGGGTATGAGGAATAGGGTGGGTGATGGTGATGTCAGAGCGTAAGGAGAGTAAAAGTGAAGATAAAAGAATAAATGAATCAAAGATTGATATTTAATATATAAATAAGAAGAAACAAATGTTTTTTATTTTTAAATAGTTTGAAATGTTTTTCAAATGTTTTGGGTGTGGGTGTGGATGTAATTGTTCTCTTCAGTAGCACTCACATATCCACTCCCAAACTCAACACCCACACTCTAGATAGATTGGTAGATAGTAAGATAGAGAGAGAGTTAGGTAGGTAGGTAGGTAGATACTTAGATAGGTATATAGATGGACAGGTAGTTAAGTAGGTTGATACACAGATAGATGGTTAGGTAGAAAGATAGATTGGTAGATAATTCTGTCGGTGAATAGATGAATAGGTTGATGGATAGGTGTGTCGCTTAGTGATAATATCCCTGATAAGTGTCTTGTGCCGGCTTGTGGATGCCCATAGGAAACTGCTCTTTATTTAGGCATCACAGAATCACTTGTAGACCCGCTGCCGAAACAATTCCTAGGAACCCCGATAAACTGCCATCGAAATCTCCAGCAGTTTCAGTATTAAATTTCAGTCCCACATTTATATGAAAACGGTACAACATGGACTGAGTCAGATTATGTAGTAGCAGACCATCAACAATACAAGACCATTATGTTGTGTATCAAATGTTTATTTTCAGAAAATGTAGGTTTATCTGACAAGAACAGAAAAATAGCATTTCATAGGGCGCAACCTAATTTCACATAAAAAATGGATAAGACACCGGCACTTTTTCATGATAAACAGGCATAATAACAACGACAGAATCAAAAAAAATCAACAACAACTACATATGTATCGGTTCTTGTTTTATATTTGTTATTATTCCAACAGTAAGTTTAGCCGATCGTACTCCTCTTTAAGTGTTGTAGTTGTTGTAGCTGTTCTTGTACTTGTTCGTGATGCTGTTGTATTTGTTATTGGCACCATTCCTGTATTTATTGTTTCTATTGTGGTATTTGTTCTTGTTGTTGTTGTCGAATACGAGTTTTACGACGATGTTGTTCAGGTTTTTCCATGAAAGCAATTGTGTCTAAACAAAAATTTAAACAACTACTTATTAGCCTCTCTCACAGAAATGAATTCAAACCTTTTACTTGTTGTAAAAAGTAATGCCTTTTTTGAGGCCATTTACCAAGGGGGAAACAGCAGACTTTTGCACTTCAAGTACTTTGCGCTACTTTAAGCTACTTTGAACTACTTTAAGCCTACTTCTAGTAGAGTACTTTGAAGTACTTTTCAACTTCAAATTTACTTGAAGTTACTTGCAATTACTTCAAGCCTACTTCAAGTAAAGTACTTTGCCGTACTTTTCTACTTCAAGTCTGCTGTTTCCCCCTTGCCATTTACACAAAAATTATGACATGGACGATAAAACGTTATGCATACACATAATATATATATATATACACGAGAAACGTCGAGCTTCACGTAGGCTTGTCTTAACAATCGACTATGAAACGACGACAAGTTGTGATCGTAATACGATTAGAATCACGAAAACATCCCAGAAAAGGAAAATCTAAGAAAATGAGAATGGAGTTCAATCCATAGACTAGCTCGAAAACTTCCTCCAGAGCGCAAAAAAACCAATGAACATGTTTTCGATTCAACAGAACAAAAAGACATTACGAATGTCGCATTTTATATTTATTTGATTAGTTCAAATTTGGAACAATTTAAAAGTGATCTTACGAATATTGCTTGTATAACCCTTAGTTCAAAAATTCTCGAAAAAAGAAAAGATCATTTTTCGAAATTATGTGTTGATGTTGTATTAAACTTACATGTAAATATCTCCATTTAATTTAATCAAAAAAATAAAAATTATCTTATTTAGAATAAAACTGATTTACAAGATATTCAAATAATAAAACATTTAAGAAATAATCTTAATGATTCATATTTTGAAGAAGGTAAGAAAATATTTATTTTAATTAACCAAAAAATATAATTTTTATTTTTTTTCAGGCTTTCTATTAGAAAAATGTGTTGGTCTTAACATGCCAAAACGTATTGAAAATGCTCGTATTTTAATTGTAAATACACCAATGGATACGAATAAAATAAAAGTATCTGATTCATCTGTGCGTGTTGATTCAGTTGCTAACGTAACTGAATTAGAATTAGCTGAAAAAGAAAAAATGAAAGATAAAATTGAAAAATTCTTCAATATAATTGTAATGTTTTTATTAATCAGTAGAAACAAATGAAAATTATTTTATTTATATAAAAAATGTAATCTTTCCAGATAAATAATCTATGATTATCCCATTCAATTATATGCTGAAAAAGGTGTTATGACTATTAAAACATGTAGATTTTGAGGTTACTTCTCATTTGCGATCATAAGTCTAATAAAATTTTAAAATATTATCAAGACTTTAAACTTCAGTCAACAATAAAGTTATGAACTTAAATTGTTTTGTTTTTTAAAATTGACTAAAACTTAATTATTTTAATTTTGAAGTTTTCAATGATAAGTGATCATATTTAAAAATTATAACTTTCAATTCAAAACGTATTTAGTTTAGAAAAGACGTATATAGTGTTCGCTAATGTATGCAATAGAAATCTAACTAAATGTAGAAAGACCTCTAAGTGTCGAATATAATCTATTTGAAACTAAGTGAATGCAGTCTCAAAGTGCTACCTCTGATTGTGGAAGATGAATATACTTAATTTACAATAAAACAATACTATTTTTTAAAGTTCTGGCGATTTAATGTTGAAAGTTTTATTAACTTTGCATAAATTATGAATTTTGGTACTCCGTACTAAAAAGAAGATTTGATGAATGATATGCGTAGTGTCCAATAAATCGTTTTAAAAAAGATCAACGAAATTTTATGCTATTTTAAACAAGGTCACTGGAATAAGTTGATCGCGTAAGGTGTTTTTTTATAAAAAAAAAATTTTTTTGAACGTAGTGACATTGTTGGTTAGGCTTAAATACGAAGAATCTTAATCTTAATCAAGACTGCTATTAACAAGTCAATTTATTTACTTCTTGTATTGAGAAAAGAACACTCACGCAGCACGACCAAGAGGGAGGGTTGAATTTGGCTTAGATTAATGATAATTTTGATTAAGATCGAAGGTCGATTTAATATCGGTTTTATCATAACTCAGAAAGTTTATTCAATGTTTATTGAAAATGTGACCTCAGTGTATGCATGTTTGAAGAGAATTTGAATACCGATACCCAAATTTTAACTTCTCTATGTTCACATCTTTTTCTACATTCTTTCCTTGTCGCATATAGATATTGGTTTATTGCAATTAGTTTGTTTCCAATGAATGCTTGATTTCATGTTCTAATACGAAATAAATAGTGTTCCAATACGAAAAAAAGGTTTATGACGTTCATACTGACAATTCTGTCTCATGAACTCTAAATATAACAGTTAATTGAGAAGAAAAAGAAGAGTACTACGTAGTTTAGCGCACTCTACCAGTAACAACTGAATAGATTGAAATGTCGCAAGCATATATCAAGCGAACTCTACAAATTTTAGTTGTTCAAAATAAAACTGCAGTTGAAATTTGTCCCAGTAATTATTTTTAAATAATAAAAACAGAAGATTTCAATTTTTGGATTATTTTTAAAATGGCTTATAATAAACTAAAGAACGAAAATTTGAAGTCTAAAATTGTTTTTTAATCTGAATAATTCAAATTCATTGAAAAATAAAGTCAAATTGAATTTAACAATCTTTGAATTTTCGATTTTACGTTTGCAAATGAGAGGATACGTTCGATATAGCTGTCACACCTATTGAATTTCTATAACCGAAAAATGTGTTATTTCAAATTTTATTTTACATGCTGTTTCAAGATGATGTGAGGATCAAGCTGTGAGACTGTGAATGATGTAAAGACTCTCAAACTTTCAACCTTACCATTGCACCTTCACAACATCACTATAGAACTTAAACAATACTCTTTTTTCCATATAAACTGTCTCTTCGTCAACAAATGTAGTCATTCAAGTGATTTTAGAACTGATAGCCAAAGTTCTAATACACTTCAGATTGCATAGATGCCATCTATTAGCAGCGATATATGTTGTGAATGATCTATCTTTATTTTGGAAAAAATAGTGCTATTCTTAATCTAAACAAGCTCCTAGTATCTAATCGGCTGTATTCTTTCAAAAAAGAAAATAATTCTTTTCTCATTTATGTTTTCTTTTTTTGCATTGAAATCTTATTAGTTTCTTTTTCATCGTGTGACTCCTGATTGAGTATAATAAATACAGTCACTCATGATGCATTGGAAAGAAAAGAATTCAGATTAAAAACATTTATTGAGACTGCCAAAATACATGAGATATCGAGTCTAGTAATGGATTGATCTTTTTCGATGCAGAATCATATTGGGAAGGATCATTTTCTGGATTTTAACAATTTCGTGTTATAATCCAAACACTATGGTCGACATATGAAACAATAAAAAACAACGGTTAAACAATTTTTCTTGAATTTTCCAATAGAAAAACACTCTCTCGGCACAAAATATAGTGTAACGTTGTTATTACACAAAAAGGAATGTTATAATTAAAATCAATATAAAAATTCTTTTAATTTTTGTTCAATTAATCGTTTTTGTTGGTTATTTAAATGAGAACGTTGTTGAAGAAAAAAACGATCATCACTTGTTTTAGCAATATTTTGTTGCAAACTGTATTTACGTAACCAACGATCATGTTGTTGGCTTGAATTTATTTTATTCATTGATGATCGTTCGTGAATTGGTATTATGTGATTCCGTGATGTTTGACTTTGATTTATTAATGATGAACATCCGAGAACTGATGGGGATTTCTCGATAATACGTATCAATGAATTTTCTTCACTAATTGATGATAAACGTTGTTTATGATTTAGGGATGAATTTTTATTTTGATAAACTAATGAAGATTGATTAATCGAAGGACGTGATGATATTTTAATTGGATCACTATTCAGATGTATTAAACCACGTTCATTATCACGTTTATCACTTTGTAAATATGATAATTCTTGTCTAAATAGAGGTCCATTCGAAGAGAAATTATAATGCCTTCCTTATTTCCTATACATTCTTATTTATTTACTTGAAAGAGAACTTTAAAAATATCTATTCCTACAGTACTCAGAGCACACATGTTCTACTTGAAAATTATTTCTTTGATAGTACACAACAGAAACGAGCATTTCGATTCTGTTCCCGATCGAGTATGGTGCGCAGTTAATCAATTTATAAAAGGCTTCAATAGTTATGAGATACTTGATATTATAGAGTTTCGAAAAAATATAAAAAAATTGGATTCAAATGAATTTTTTTTCTTGAACTCTTTCACATTTTGCTGAAGTCAATATCTATTTATTTACGATACTCATCTATTCTTCTGACTTTTGACAGACTCGAAATAAATTTAAACTTAAATAAAACATACTAGTATGTCCACATCAAAATTCTCAGTAAAATTTACTGAAATTCAACACCTTTCATAAGTTCTTTTAATAAATATTTTTCAAAATAACAACAACAAAAAAATCACAATAACTTATTATAATACAAAATAAACAGAAGATTTTTTTCTTCAAAACATTTTATTTCAAAGCTTCACTATGTCGGTTCAAATCATATCCTTCTATGGTTACGAAGTATTATACTAAAATATTTTTTCATAGGATATTTTTCGAAACATCATTATGAATAGAAATAAAAATGATGAACTTTGTAATGCAATTCAGTTCAAACCTTTTCCTCGCAAAATTCAAAAAATATTTCTAAGAACCTTTTCATTTACCATAGAAACAATGGTATTCGATATTTTCTGTTCTAATTTCACAAATGTTCTACTGATCATTTTTCATGATGATATAACATCACCTAAGAATGTTCAAACGAGTAATATTCATTTTCTATTCTTGACTTTTAAGACTTAATGCAATTCTAATTATACATTAAGTATTTTCTAATAATATTTACTTGTATCGCCGATTTAAATCTCTGGGTTCAGGAAGAACATGATTGATTTTTCGTTGATCAACTTTCTTTGTCTTCACTCGTTTTATATTTGTATGATTAACATCTTGTACATTTGGTGCGGATTTCTCCAATCGATATTTTGTTTTTTCAACGTCTTCATAATATTGATTACGTTTAATCATATCATTAAATATTCTATGTTGAAATGGTTTTGATCCAACTTTGCTTTTTGTAAGAACACCATTGATAGCATTATTCAACATTTTTTTGTTTAAATAATTTTTATTTTTCTGTCAATTGTGTTTTTGTTTGTGTTTTTATTTTTATTTTTTTCTTCCTCTCTCTCTCTCTCTCTCTCTCTTTGCTATGTTTCTCTTCAATTTCACACTGTTAATTGAAACACTTGATTCGAGTAACAACGATAATTAATCGCACCAAACGATTGCTCAGTCGTCATTATGGATGAAATGCGTAACAAAACAATTAGCAGAACATATTAATGAATGAAAAAGCATAACAAATGAGAATAACAATACCAGTCTAATTTTTTTTTATAACAGTCGATGATGTTTATCATATGTATGATTAAATATAAGAAGTCATCATTTTTCCAATTTTACCAAGTATAAATACGAAGTATTCGAGCAATACAAACGAGAAAATATAGAATAATGATGAACAATGAAGAATATATTTTTAATTATGATGAAATCAAACGAAAATTCGAAAGTGTACCACAAACAAATTCAATGACAAAAAAGTTTAAATCAACGGCATATAAAACATATTTTCAACCTCGAACAAAATCAATAATTGGGAAAAACGATATGCGATCAAATACGTATCCATTGATGGCAAATAAAATTCAACGAAATGAGATATTATCACACCCAAGAGTGACTTTAAAACTACATGTGATTGATGTTCAAAAAATGAAGCCAAATGAGCAATTTATTTTACAAAGTCAGCAAGGATTTCATTTAATGTCCAATCATAAAAAATAAGCATTTTTAATAAAAAAATTCCGTTTTCATGTTTATATATAGTCGCTGTGTTATTAAATTGCCAGCTGTATTGTTTAATAAAGGATGATAATTTTTCTTTCAGGATGATATATATTGATGGTAAACGTTTCTTTTGCTTTTCAAGAATTTATATGATATGAAAGACTCAATAGTATAAAAACAGAAAAGGTTTCTTATGAAGTTAGTAAAAATATTATTAAAAAAATATTTATTAGTGAAACCATCGAATTATTAACTCGTGCTTTGGATGATGAATATCTTTTTGTATCTTATTCACGATATAAACATTAGTTTTTATTATATTAGAATCAGACAGAATTATGAAGAACTATATTAATGAGTAGTATATGAGTGCCTATTTGAATACAATTATGATTATGTTGAAGATCTTTTATGTGATGAATTGAAGCTGATGCGAAAAAAAAACCATTGAAGATAAGTTAGCATTGTAATACTTTACATTCGAAAAACTTTAAGTTCCTGGCACCGTACAACATGATGTTCCGGTGTAGGAATGGAATAAGAGTTGTGAGGAATAAATTAACGTTGTCACATGTCAATTTCATAGTCACATAGAAGTCTTAGTCTAGATTTCATATATAATTGATGTTGACAAATGATGTGATTTATGCGATCATACTTTGTAGCTTTCGTAAAAAATATCGTTTTTGTGTTGTATACAATGTGAAATGATATTATTCAATATCAATTTTTTGTTTCAATATTCATCAACTTTTCGTAGTCTTACAATATACTGAGGTCCGAAAATGATAGTTTATCTACTTCCAGGATCGAATTCAGAAAATTTTGGAATAGGTGGAAAACAGAAGCAGATTATAGACAGTTTTCGTGATGATTTTTCTAATATTTTCTGTTATCGACTATTCAAATATATGCTGTGGTCTATGGAAAAAAAAAATAAGTAAGAAAAAAAAATCATACAAGAAATTCTAGTGTTGTATTTTTTCGTTTTTGAAAAGTTCTCGATAACTTGTTCGATATCTATGTAAATGATGGAATGCACATACATCATGATTAGTCTGTTTAGTTGATTTTCAACTACGGTACTTTGAAGATATAATTTAATCAGTTTTAATGTCGAAAAAGCTTCTCTCATCTGTCGCTGTTGTCACTGGTAACGTTGCATAAATTTGAAAATGAACTTTGATACTTGAAAAGAAGATACCACTGTGTCGAACGTGATTCGAAACATGAATTGCATAGATATTTTTACTCAATCGTATACTTACTAACCATTGGCAGAGCAAGCATAAATAAACCGTTAACATGACCGTTAGGTATTTCAATACAAAACTATTCAAATGCTCATCGGCTGTATGACGAAAATAGTAGTCATATCCAACAAGAAAAAGAATATTTGATACAAGTAATAACACTATGTAGAGCATATATACATATAATATGTTCTCTTTCTCTGAAATCTTTCATTTCAAAATATAAGCACTATAAACTTTAAACTAGTGAGAAATGCATATTATCTGTTTCTGTAAATCTCATAAAAATACAAAGATATTTAGGACATAGCACACATCAATTTCAAAGGAGAAGACGATCACCGCCCGCACTTTCCTGCTAGATTCGTGACTGTCTACTTGTATTAGTAAAAGGAACGTCGTCAAAATCATAACTTCACCATCACAAAATCATGATGTCTTTTTCTTTTGGCTTTGATTTTCCTTGATATTATTATTAAACAAAAATGAAACATTTTTACGATTTGGTATGAAAAAAAATTGAAATGCTTTTATCTCTTTTCTGAATAGTGGGTTAGAAATGATACAATTAAAAGCATTGGGTTTTCTCTTAAATAGGAACAAGAAAAAAAAGACTGTAGTGTTATTTGAGATAACGTGATATAGTGATAGATTATGCTTAAAAAGTAATTGTGCCATTTGTTTTAATTATGTGAGTTTTTTCCTTGAGCTCCTTTATGTTAGTCAGATAGATATTTGACATATCTCAGTATGAGTCTAATTTGACCTTAGAATCGATGTGTAAAAAAAAAATAACAGGATATCTTTAAGTTTTTTTTTTGTATCTAATACTCACCTTAATAAAAGAAGATAAGCTTGTTGATAGAATTCAGACTTTAACATTTCTATTAAAACTTTTGAAAAATTAAAATTTCAACTTAATTCGATGGAAATATTCAAGCCTTATTTTGAACTGATTCAATGTTTGACATAATAATTTTTAAAATAAAATTTGTGTTAGTTTATTCAAAATGTAAATGATTGGGAGATCTGAAATTGACTACTTACAATAGAAATTTACGATTATACTTAGAAAAATATTTAACAGAAGATCGATTGATATTAAACCGATGTCAGAATATTTTTCGTGATATTCTGTATTTTTATTGGTATATTTCAAAACTTGGGAATTGTAAATGCTTACCACTTTGGAATAATTAAATGTGTAGAAATTGAAAAAAGATTTCATTTTGTTTAGAGATTCTTTCTAATTTCACTTTTTCTTCATAGAAAATTTTTTTATAGTATTCATTTGTTCACAAGTAATTTTCATGTTGAATTGAATCGGTTTTGACTTTGAAATATACACTTTCCTAATGAAATGTCAAAATCTAAGTCACATACACAAATAAATATTTCATCTGTTTGTGTAAGATAATCAAGAAGAAATAAATAAAAAGGTCAAAAAAAAAATGAAATTAGAATGTTCTATAAATTTTTATATAATATATTATGTATCTTATGTCAGATCTGATAATCATAAAGCTGACATAATTTTAGAAAAGATCTGCAAAGAAAAAACAAATCTCAGTTAAGTAAATTAACTTGCTGAGAATTGTTTGAAGTCTGTGCAAGCAAGGAAAATTTACTGAAAAAACAAAATCGACTGTTTTATAGAGCAAAAAATTCTGCATAAAATAAATTGCAAGTTTACAAATTAACATTAAGAATTTGAAACGAATTGTACGAAAAAGATCGATTTCATTTAGTTCATACATGGAATTTTATTTTTATTTATATAATATTGACAATAAATAATCTATATTGAAAACAAAAACGGAGTCGTATTGAGACGATGTAAAATTTCAATTATTTTGAATATAATGAGAATTCAACATTTTCTGATATTAATTTCATATTTTCATAGAAGTTTTATCTAGATTGAAATATAATTGATGTTGAGAAATGACTTGACTTATGAAATGACACTTTATATCTTTCTCAAGAAATTATTTTGTATTCTTTATAACATGACATAATATTAATCAGCATACATTTCATTTTATTTTAACAGACAAATATATTCTAATAAAATATGAAAATCTAATAATGATGTTTTATCTATTTTATTTTGATGAAAAAATAATTCTTACTTCTTACAATACCGTAATTTCACTATCATTCAACGACGAGCTCTTTCTTCTTGGATTATAATTTAGAAATGGTTTAATTACATCTGAAAGATTTTTTTTTATTCCAAAACAATAAATATAAATAGAGAATTGAAGTGAGATTTAATCGTGATAGGTTATCTTAAAAAAAAATCAATAGTCCTATCAATGAGCCATTATCTCATTTATTGTCTTCGTCATGTTCACTTTAAACATTCGCTTTGTCAATTACTTAAATATCACACATGTCTAATGTCGAATGACATGTAAGCTCAAGAGGTTGAGATAAATATAAGCTCTCTATCTGATATCTCACTTAACTGTATACTATAAATTGTTTGACGTATTTCAAAATAGTTCTATGTCTATTTGCATTTTGAATAAACTTTAAATTTTTGTCTTATCTATTCGAATAGTTTGTTTGTTTTTGTTGTTGTTTATTTATATGCTAATTAGAGACGACGTAAGAATCCTAAGATTGTGAGGAGTAAGAAAATGTCTCACTAGAGTAATAAAATTTTAAAAAAAAATCTTGCCAGTTTTATTAGACAATAACGAATAATTTTCAATTATCAGGAGATATGCACTACTCTACCGCTTTCACAAGTTCTGACGTCAATAACTATATTTCATTTAGCTATCTGATATGACACCAAAGAAGTTCTTTTCTGCAGACGAAGATCAATCATCTTATGAAAATAAGGTTCTGTCATGACATTTTGGTTACAAATATGAGATAAAAATAGTCTCTTAATCACATTCAATTATGAGAGCAAAAATATTTGTTGTAGAACAAAACAACTATAAAATTATCATTTTCGTATGTTGTTTTGACTAACTATTTGCTTATGCTTTTGTTGCTTCATATCTCATGTCCCCTATCAAATAGTCAATGCCTTGTGTAAATTTATTTTTAAAATTATCTAAAAAAAGCATATTTTTATTTTAAGCTTTTTCAGGTAAACAATAAAGATAAAAATTATCTATTTCTTTGATAGTCTATAGATGAGTATAAGTAGTTGACTTCAAAAATTTTATTAAAAACAACTTAGATATAAAATGTTATAGATAAATTAATTATTTTTTGTTTTGTTTTTTTTTGTGTTTATTGTGTAAAAGACGATCTTAGCAGGTGGTTTAATAACGTAAATATACGTACTCAAAAAATCTTCACATACTATATTGAGTCGTCTATAGTAGATGTCAGTCATCAGAAAGAAAAAGGTTATCATTGTCCATTAATCACAATCGAATAGAAAAAAAAAAGGGGAGACATAGTTAGTGCATTATCAAAAATAGATTTGTTGTTTTCATACAACTGATCCATTCGATTGTTTTTCTAACATTTTATAAATTCCGTTTTTTTTTTCTTAAATAAACACAAATAATTGTTTTTCATTCGATCAATTATTTATTGATCGAAGTTGTCTACTCATATGTTGTATGTGTACTTAAAATAGACGGAACATACATAACAATAAAAACATATTGACTTAAATAAAAAGAAGAAAAAAAAGTACACATGAGAACTTTTTTTTTCTATGACAATCATAGAAAAAAAAATGAAAGGAAGAGAAATGATGAAATTCTTTTTCTTTTGCCCTACAGAAAACAACCTATGAAAATGTATTCAGTTGTTAAATGACATTATATCTTCATTTAAGTGAGAACATGTATGGGGTACGGCATCAATTGCGAACGTCATTCTATGTAACAAGGTAAGTCCATCTTTTCGTTCTCTCGTTTGTTGTAATGTGTGCCTTTTCTTGCTTTCTTTTCTTCTCGGTTATGATTCTTTTCTCTTCGGATATTTTGTTCTATTTTTCCTTCTTTTTTTTGCTACGATAATATGTGTGTGTGTGCATACAATAGCAAGCCATCATACGTTTGTCGAGCATGCAAAAGAAACGAGAGAGACATATATACTAGGTTACTATCATCACTACACAAACGACAGATGCTCAGACACACATACGAATCGTTATCGCTATTCTTTTGTCATCTATTTTTATATCACCTGTGTTTTGTCGTCAATATATTCGTTTAAAAAAAAAATAGCTCGTTTAATATTTATTATGTATATTCATAACTTCTATAGACTAGTTTCGAATAATTGACGATTTTTCTATGAATATAGATGAAATAAAGATAAAAAAAAAGAAAAACGTGTAAATATGGCCGATTTTTATACAATTGAAACTCCACCATCATCATTATCGACAATTAAGGATTTAATAGATGAATCAAAGTCATCATTGCAAACGAAAAAACGAATTAATCTTCGACAAATATCTAATCAATCTAATTCAATAGGAGTTAAAACTGATGAGGTAAGATAATTTTTTAGAATATGTATATAAAACACCTACGTTGATTTCTAGACATTCTTCGGATGTTATATAAAGTATCAGGATAATCTTATTCATAAGATGATGACGCACATAGGATTGATTGTCTTTTATTAACATAAAAGGAACTAATCAAAAGGTCAAATAATGAATCAGATACTATTCGAAATATTTTCATGATTCATTATCGAAAGGTTTCTCTTGATAAGAATCCTGATAATCCATATGATAATAAATACAATAAAGATTTTTTTATATTCGTCATACTAAGTCATAAAAAAAATTTTTTTTTTTTCAATTAGAATCAAAATTTAAAGAGATAGAAGAATATATAAATAGTTAAATTTTATTCTTTTGGTGCAAATTAGTAATGAAGTCATGCTCAGAGAGTCCAGATAAAAGAGAAATGATTATTCATGCAAATGCTTTTATTTATCTATTGTTGGGATTTATTATGAATATATTACTCTTTTAGAATTGTAGTTAGGTTTTAACACATTTTTCTCTACTGGGTCAACAAAAGAGCAGACATAAATCATTTGAAGCTATAGAACAGATGTCATATTATTCTATAAGAGGACCTCTATGTTTGTTCATCGGGTCACAATAAAATATAATCAAATGCAAGATATAAAAGAGAAAGAAAAAAATCTTCACTCTGATTCTTTTTAATCTAATAAAATCTGAATATAAAAAGAAAACGAAAATTTATTTATTCACTTGTTATTCTACGACGCTATTTATTATCTAAATGAGTCAGCTAGTCATCAAGTAAACCTGCAGAATAAAAATAGAATAAACGAATATCACAGTTTCAGTCTATGACATGAATTGGATTGTCACATATTCTATATGACATTTTCACATATTTTTTACTTGAATAACACATGTTAAAACATCTACTTCGCTCGAGAAAAACAAGTTCCCAATAAATATTCATTATTTTCCCAACAATACTAATATCCGATTAACTAAATCATTCCAATCAGTCACAAACAACAATTGTTTCGACGTCGAAAATATACATTCATACAAATCAATTCTCTCTGTATGCTTCAATGGTTTGTTTTTTATGCACATAATTTAAGAACAATAATACTGAAAATGTACACAGGCATTGTAGAAAAGAACATGTCAAAGAAAAATTCTTTCTAAGTTTGTCATAAAAGAAAAAGTCCGAGATAATGACCTGATCTACATTACAAAAGTAAATATTGAATTAAGAAACGTGATTGGTCGAAAAGTTAATACACATTTAATACAGTTTTGAAAAGTGTATTAAGTTAAGACACTTTTCAAAACTGTATTAAAGTTAATGCACCAATCAACTTTAAATTCGATTTCTGTGAATGAAGCAATTGAACTAAACAAAGCGACAAATCATTCTGAATTCTAATTGATGCATTAACTTATAAGTGAAGATGCATATCATTTTAATACGAAGTTAATACTGTATTATTTTTCTAGTGTCGATCAGGTCAAAGTTAAACACATTCAAAATCTGATAACAAGATAATAGCATATTGTATAAATAATGAGACTCGTGCGTAATTTTATGAAAAAAAAAAAATTTATTTGACAAATAAGAATAAAAATTGATTATGTGATGTTCTTTTATTTCACGTGAACTTTTGCATGTTCTTTTTTCTGAAAAAATAACATGTACCCGACATAGATTACTATTGACTTGTGTTCTTTTAGCAAGATCTCAACTTTTAATTATTTAAGCACAAGTATAGAAGTTGAAGATGTCTTTTTCTTGTTTACTTATGCTCTCAACAAATAAGTAGATCAATAGGTTTTAGAATGTATAGAGTTATGCAAATTGTTCGAAGTACATATCAAAGTTTCTTAGATGTTTACATTTGAAAAATTAATAAAAATAATTTTTTATAATAATCGAGTTGTGTTTAATCATGTTATTTATTTAGCAATTCACAAGTAGATTAATATAAATTTTACTTCAAATGGTGTACTTTTTTTTTTTGAGAAGAAAAATAATTAAAATAATATTTTATTACCTTAAAAATTTATTTTAGCAGAATATTCTAAGAGTAAAATAAAATTCTATTCTATTATCTTTTCAACTAAACATATGTTCATAATAAAATATTTCATTAATTTTAGTTTGATTCAACTGTTTATGCTGATATGAATAGTCCATTACGTCGTAGTCTTGGTAATACAAAATTAAAAACTCGTCAAGATGTTCGTCGTTTTCGTAAATTTTTAAAACGTAATCATAATTTATCATCAATATCTCTTGTTGATATCGAACCAGATGTAATGCGTAAATATTTAATAGATTATTTAACATCAATTCGAACACGTAAAGGTTTAAAATATGATCCTGAAACTCTTCGTTCATATTATTTAAGTATTCAAAGATTTTTAAAAGATTCTAATTATCCATATTGTTTACGTAATTCTCCACAATTTTCACAATGTCGAGATTTAATAATTCAAATGCGAAAAGAAAAAAATCAAATTAAATTAAATGATTTATCATCTTTTCAAAAAACTAAAATAAGTAAAAAAATTTCAACACCTATAAATCAAAATTTTATTTCTCAAGAACAACAAAATCGAATACCGTTAGTAATTCATTTTTCAAACTTTTATTTTGATTTCTAAAATTAGTATTTTACTTCTTTTTTTTTTTAAGTTCTTCAGAAATAATTCCATCGAATACATGTGTTGATCTTCTTCCATCATCATCACTTCCTCCTCGTAAACGTCAACAAATGAAATATTTTCTTGAATCAAATTCTTCATGTGATTTTCTTTTTATAACTCAAATTCCACGAATATTATCACCACCATTATCAATTCTTTCATCAGATGCATATTTACTTTTGATTAAATTTACATCATCTAGTCAAAATAAAATTCATTATTATGAACAATTACTTGATCAATCACCAGCATGTGGAAATAAACAACGTTTAATGTTAACAACATTATGTCATCAATGGATGGGCGATATTCGAATTATTCATGCTAATCTTCGACCAGAAATAAGTTCATTTTTACCACATATACTTCTTATTAATATTCTTTCATCAAAATATTAATTTATGGTGCTATCTCAATGAAAATCTCTTTTTACTTGAATGTATATTAAAGACTTGAAAAGTCTTATGAAGAAAATTTATTTGTGATTTGTGTGATATTGTTATCAGTCGGTTTTATAAATTGTCATATCGTGACAATCAAAAACCCTTTTTTTTTCTTGTTCTTGATGTTAAATATATCGAGTTATTTTACTGACATTGTGTGTGTGTGTGTGTGTGTATATATATATAATTATATTATTCGGTTTAATTTAATTATTTAATCGTGCTTTGTGTAATAGAATTCTAGGCGCTTCTTTTTGTCTTCTTTCGAGTTTTAATATCTTTGTAAAAAAATTCAATAGGTTTTCTTTCTTAGAGAAAACTTTTGTAGAATATGAAAGATAGACATCGTAAAAATGTGAAGAGAATTTAAAAAAAAAACAAAAAAAAACAATATTTTCTTGCTATAAATTTTAATTGTATTGTACAAAATCATTTGATAATTGATCGAAGCCATTCCATTTGTTACCTAACAAAATATCTTTAAATATGGAAGAATTAGTATTTCATTTTCTTTAAAAAAATTTCACTAACGAAAGAATAATCATTAAAAAAAATTCAATTCGTTTTTCAGAATTCCAAAAATTTTGGATTCTGTCATTTATATTGAAACTTAAACTACAAATAAGATTTAAGATTTCGTTAAAATTCAAAATTTGAGGAAACAATAATTTTGTGATATATGAAAAGAATTTTTTTTCGAATCAGAAACAAAATTTTTTATTCGACAGATATTTTCATATACAACATCTCTTTAAAAAGTATTTTTCTTGATTAGTATCGATGTCTTCGAACTAAAAGTAATTAGTCTCAATAGAAGAATATTCATTGCTTAACTATATTATAATCTTGACATCATTTTAAAAAAAATGTTCTATGAATATTTATTATGATATCAAGTAGAACAAATAAGAAAAAAGGTCATCATTGAAGATATATTATCAAGATGTAAACAGTACATTATCATGTTTAGAGTTCTATGTTTTAATCGGATAAGCTATCTGATCGAATTGATGTTAAATAATATAATTTCACGTCATCAAGAATAAAATATTTCTTTTGAAAGATACTTACTATCATTTCCGATAGCAAATAAACATCAATGATATTTCAATATAAATAATACTTTTGTATACGAATATGAAATTAACATCCAAAAAGAAAACGTTGGATGTAATTATTTGAAATCAAAATAATATTATTTATGTTGATCATTTTTTTGATTATATTCAATTGTGTTTAAATTCAATTTAAATGCCTACACAAACTGAATTATTTTCATCGAAATCTACAGTTTTTTTTATTCATCAATATCTGATAAACACAAATGAAGTACTTATTTTTCTTTATTAATTACTCTCTAAAACATCTGGTTTTTATATGAAATTTGATTTAATGCATAAATATGTTGTATCGAGATTTTTAACTTGACATGTAATTTTTCCTCATGTCAACAACATATTTTCACCAAATGATTCATCATCGTCTGCCAACAAATGAAAATGAAAGTTATGAATATATATTAAAACCTTCATTTAGTACGTGCTAACTCATATTGACGAGTTATTGACTATTTCATATTAACATAAATTAATCTTTGGACATGATTAAATTTAGTTTTCATACAAATCAATAGAGTTAATCTGAATTATAGTTTCTGATGTTATGGCACGTACATATGATGTGCCATAAGAAAAATTGTTAAAGGTATTTTCCATTTATGTTCATTTTCTTTCGTTCTGTTAGGTATTTTCTTTCTTTACTATTTTCTTTTGTTTGATGTAATAACTCATGTATTTTTCCAACTAAGTTATATCATCTATTGATATATTCCCTTAACATCTGTTATATATATATCTGTTGTTTCTATATTGTGGAAGAATGAAGTTAAAGAGCAGAATGTGATCAAAGATCAAACATAATAAAACACATACGCACATCAATATGATTATCAGATTTAACATTTGAAAAATTATTTATGATTTATTATTTTAATTTCATATATATTTCTCTATTTAATCTTGATAATAGTTTCACGTATAGACAAAGAATCTCTCGTGACTAAAGATATTTTTTAATAATCATATTGAATCACATATATTAACTAATTTGTAAACAAACAAAAATAACAAAACATCATAAAGTTTATGACAGTTGAAAAGAAGAAATATCGAATAAAAAATAAATGTCTATTCATACTTTAATTATTGCTCTAATATCTATTCTGAGATAAAGTTTCACGCGACTTTAGATATTTGATTAGTCAATAAAAGAAATCTCACAAATTAAATCGAGAAAGAAAAAGAAAATTGTTATAAAATAATTATTGAGTAATGATAGTACTTTTCAAACTTTTATTTAAACCTCCTATCAACAAATGTCAACTTTCATCAGAATTATTGACATTAAGATAAATACATAGCAAATAGTCTGAGCTCTAATCTTTCATAAACGGCATCTCATTTTTTTGTCAGCAAAAGTTTTGATGATTTCTGTCATCATCTACTTGAAAAATATGCTGTTTTCAAAAAAACAAAAAACAGAAATTTTTTTTACATAATTTCTCTGTTTATACTTTTTGGACTGCACGTGCCAGAATTTTCGGAAGAGGTTCAATGTAGTCAGTTCCTTTTCTTTGTTTGAGAGAGCATGTCAAGATGTAGGGCATGACAGAGTCCTTTTTTTTGAATTAAGCTTTGTTACTATTACATAAGCTAGTAGGTTTTTTGAGTTGTTCGAGACATGGAACTTTTCTCCTCTTGGAAAGTAAGCATTAAAAAAAGACAAGGACTATGTCATGCTCTTTCAAATAAAAAAAAATTAACTATATAGAATGAAGGAGCACAAAGAATTTTAAGTTGCCGAATGAGCTATTCTTGATCCTTATTTGTTAAGTATCTCCCGAAAAACATCATAATTTAGAGCTGAAAATTTTATCATAGTCTCTTCACTAGAGCTTCGACATATTCTGACAATTCCATGCAGTTTGAATATACCTGGTCCAAAATTGATTTTTAAAACGTGGAGAAAGTTTCAATAGAAAATAGAATACATATCATTACATCATTTCTAAATTATAATTTAAAGCAAAATAAATAGTTCTCTAAGTTTATTTTGTAGATTTTTATTGTAATATCCATCAAAAAAAGAGGTCATGATTTGATGATGGTGAAGTCATGTTTTTTACAAATTTCCCATAACTATATATATATAGATAAACCATCACTTTTGGACCTCGGTATATTCTAAGAATATATCAAGATGTTAAATTGAAATGAAATTGATATTGAATAATATCATTTCATATAATATAGAACAGAAGAAAAAAATTTAATTTCCTACGCAAGATATAAAGTATAATTGCATAAGTCAAATCATTTCTCAACATCAAGTATATTTGCAATCGAAATAAGATTTCTATATGAATATGAAACTGACATCTGTAAATACTAGACTCACATTTTATTCAAAAATAATTGGAATCTCCCATCGTTTCAATACGACATCATTTTTGTTACCAGCAGGAGGTATCTCAAGGTGATCAGATTTTGGGGATCGAGTATTTTTTTAAAAATTGATGAGCAAATAAAACACTGGAACTTCTCTGTGAAAAACCAAAGATTGGAAGTAGGGAATGAACTCCCTCGACCCCTCGTACAGGATATTCCTAATTAACAGCAAATACAAATAATTAGTTTTTTCTTTTGATATACTTGTATTTAATTTGATACAGAATTTTTTTCTATTAAACCATCAACTCTGTCACTCTATAGAACTGAAGCAATTTTCAACAAGTTAATTACGTAAATAAGATTTTTTTTTTCTTTTTAAATCTTTTATAAAATTATGTCAATTTGATAATTATCAGGTACAGTATAAAATATGACATATTCTATATAGAGCATTCAGACATGGTTTTTTTCATTTTTTGGATTTTTTTCTCCTCGATTATCTTATAGAAATAGATGTAGTTTGTAAATGTGTATGTCACTATGATTTCATTAGAAAAATGTTTTTTTTCTAGGTCAAAATTGATGTAATCAAATATGGAAATGACTTGTGAATAAATAATTATTGTAAAAGTATTTCTATCAAGAAAAAATAGAGTTGGAAAGAACATAAAACAAATGAAAAATTTCTTAGTTTTTACATGTTTAATTGAAATATTTTCGATATAAATAATCAATCTTCATTTCAATTATATTTACTCGCAAGGGAGAATAAATGGATTTCAATCTACCAACGACAAAATGTTTGCAAATTGTATATTTAGGATAGATACTTCCAGGAATAGCCAATCACAAAAAATGCAAGATTCTCAGAAGATTTTTTGTTAATCTCTAGGATTTCGTAGAACTCGTTACGCTGATCATTTTAGTAGAAAAAATATTCAAATTTACTCACTAAATCATTGTGCTAGAAGCAAAATACTTGAAAACGTCACCTACCGCACAGCAGTAGTTAGAAATAGCCGAAGTTCTTGAGTATTTTGGCCATAGTACCATGATTGATTGAGCAAATTTGAACACTTTTTTTGTACCAGAATGATCAACTCAATGACCTCTACAAAGTTCTACAGACGAAAAAGAAAATCTTCTGAGAATCTTGTTTTTTTTGCAGTTGATCACTAGAAATTATTATAACGCCTTGAGGATACGACGAATCACGACTGGAAGTGGTTAAAAATTATTGAAAACCATCAGAAGTCAATGAAAATCACTCTAAACTAGATGGTATTCGAGTTTCGACTCGAATACGAAATGCGGTGCGAAGCACATATCTCGAGTTCTGGAAATAAAACGATGTTTCGTAAAAAAACGAAAACTCGATTGTCGGGTTAATAGCAATCGTCATTTGTAATTGAATTGTGTACACGCTACTGAACATAGACACTTCTTTGTATCATTCGAATTCGAAAAATTACTTTTTCACGAGTCAGCTGATATTAGTCGTGAGAAAATTGAAAAGCACCATAATAAAATTCATCACCACGAGAACTCTATGAAAGCCTATGAACACTTTTCTGAACGATGAAGTCGATTGATTGTTTAATTATCTATATGATTCATTATCTACACTCAGCTGTGGGTACAGCTGTTTGACATACGAAGAAAGATAATGGCGCCTAACTTTCCTCTTCATTTTCATTTTAATTATCTCAAAATGAAAAAAATACAAAGTCCTCAAAAATTTGTCATTTTTGGAAGCGATTTTCGGTAAATCGGAAAGTGCTTTGGAGATGAAGTCAAAAGATATTATCGGTTCGATCTCGATACTGGGATCTCGCGTTTCAACGACTACTTTCGGAGTTTTAGTTCTCGAGACCATCGCGTCACAAAATGATAAGTTTCGATGCGTACGTCTAGGAAGAAAAAAAGAAAAAAAAACTAGATGGTATTCGAGTTTCGACTCGAATACGAAATGCGGTGCGAAGCACGAATCTCGAGTTCTGGAAATAAAACGATGTTTCGTAAAAAAACGAAAAATCGATTGTCGGATCAATGGCGATCGTTCTTTCTGGTAAAGTTGTTTACGTACTGGCGAGTATAGACGCTTCTCTGGGTCGTTCCAAATTGAAAATTTACTTTTCCCTCAATCAGATGATTTGAATCGAAAACAAGTTGAAAAGCAGCCATAATGAATTTCATCACTACGATAACCCTATAAAAGCGTATCAACATGTTTCTAAAGAAGGCTGCTGATTGATAGTTTAATTATCTAAGTGATTCATTATGTATAATCAGCTGTATTCACAGCTGTCTCGCATATGAAGAAAGAGAGTGGCGCCTAACTCTTCTTTTTTAATGCGGTGCGAAGCACAGCATTTAAGTAGTCCTTCGCGAGTTTTTTTTTTTTTTTACTTTTTTATTTTACTTTCTCGACGTACGCATAAAAGTTGTCATTTTCTGTTCGAATGATCTCGAGAACGGAAAGTCAGAAAATATTGGTTCAAACGCGAGGCCCGAGTATCGAGATCGAACTAATACCATTTTTAGTCGAACCGTCTATAGAACCAATAGTTCGTCTACAATCGGAGCTCCAAAATCACGATTTTGACAAAGTTCACTTTTGAGATAATTAA